TCAAGCCCAAAGTCAAGAATGGGAAACGGTGCTGAGGAGATGGGAACAGAAGAGATGTGTCAAGAGGAGGTGGGTGGGGGTGGGACAAGAAGCATCCCCAAGCACTGCACAGGAACAAAGAGGCACAGGGTCTGCCTGGAAGTGCCTCAGGAGCTGAGGGAGGCTGAGGCCTTCCCTAAGGAAGAGCTGAGCTCCACACAGCATGAAGAGGACATGGCAGAGCCTCCATGGTGAGACACCTGCGAGGGAATCTGTGCAGCAAGGTGAGCAAAGGCTCCAACTTCCAGATCGTGTGGACTCGGCCAAATCTGAAGAATTGAAAATGGTGAAGCTTGAGGAGGAAGAAGCTCCAGACCTACAGGACTGGACACAGCTGCACATCCCTCCCAGCCTGGAGACTGGGCCTGTGGTAAGTGTGGGACAGTGATCCTCTGCAAGCCAAGGGGAAAGGACCATTCCAGGTTCTGCTGGAAAAGGACCCTGGGTTCACTACTCCAGAGTTAAGAAACCTTCTGCTCCTGAAACAACTGTAAAAACAGAGACTGATGCAGGAAAAAAAAGCTTTAAATGATTCCTCTTTTGTGCCTAAAGAAGTGTTCAGGATAATAATTATTTTTCTTTGCATAATACCTGACTGTACAGGACACTACTACTGTTAGATATTTATTACTGTCCATTATTGTTTATTGTTATTATTGTTATTGTTAATTACTGTTAGATATGTACTGTTATCAGATATTTATCCTTTAGATATTTATTTACTATTAGATATTTATCTGTTGTTAGTTAGTATTGTTAGATACTTATCTATTATTAAATACCTATTTAGACGAGATATTTAGAAGATATTTAGGAGAGAATTGACAAGGTAAAGGCCTTGTCAAGCCTCTAAAGGGGGGAAATGATGCCTTGGGTTTTAGCTTTTGTATTTTTCAGATTCTCTGCTGCTTAGTGTGTAACTCTGAAACTTTGTGTTAGGTGTTAGTTCTCTTCACAGGGTGGTTGGACAGAACAATTAATTCCCAGCTAGAGAATCAGGGACACCCAGTACCCAAAACCATCAACAACGGTGAGGGAAAGGGGGCAGAGACTTCACAGTCTGGGGCTGTGGTTGGACAATTGACCCCAATGTGTAGAGAAACCAAAACTTAGAGAAGTGTAAAAACTCGAGACTGGGATCCATCCTGGATTTGATCTGTGTGCAGCCCTGGCCTGGCTCTTGCACTGCCCAAGGTGAATCCTTTCAATAAATTCCTGTTTTATTCCTTTTGTTCTGTCTGGTCTCTGTTCCAGGTCAGCCTTTCCAGGCACCAGTTCAGTCCCTGAGAAGGGTTAGTGAGGTCACTTGGGGGATACTTGAGGTCATTTTGGGGTTATTTGAGGTCATTGAGACTCTGTTAGGGGTTATCTGAGGTCATTTTGGGGGTTACTTGAGGTCATTGAGTGCCTGTAGGTGTTACTTCAGGTCATTTGGTGATTACTTGAGGTGATTTGGGGTTACTTGAGGTTATTGAGACCCTGTTAGGGGTTATTTGAAGTCATTTGGGGGTTTCTTGGGGTCATTTAATCCCTGTTAAGGGTTGAGGTCACAGGGGTTATGTGAGGTCATTTGGGGGTTTCTTGAGGTCATTTAATCCCTCTTAGGGGTTACTTGAGGTAATTTGGGGGTACTTGAGGTCATTGAGACCCTGTTAGGGGTTATTTGAGGTCATTTTGGGATTATTTGAAATCATTCGGGGTTACTTGAGGTCATTGAGACCCTGTTAGGGGTTATTTGAGGTCATTTGGGGGTTACTTGAGGTTATTTGGGTTGAACAGGAAGCCCAGTTAGCACAGATGCTGCCTTTGGACTTTGCTGTCCATAACACCCAGCCAGGCCTGCAGGGACAGCTGGACAGGACAGCCAGGATAGCTGGACAGGACAGCCAGGACAGCTGGACAGGGCTGCACCCACCACACCCAGGTCAAGGTCTCTGAAGCCCAGGGAGTTTTGGACTTCTCAGCTGGAAGGAAAGGATGGGAGAGCTGGGCTGTCAGCAGCCACAGCCACGGACCTCTGGGGATGAATGGACTCCTCTGAACTGTCCTGGTCTCCTTCATTCTCTGTATTTACTCTGCACTTGCCACACCTGGTGCAGCAATCCCTGTGGAAAAGTCAGGAAGGGGTCCTTCAAATGGTCCAGGTTGTTAAATGTGGCTGGGTTAATAAGAATCAGGGTTTGTAAAGACAAATTGAGAAATAAGAAGAGAGGGGATCGAGAGGAAAGCTCCTGTCTTTACAAACAATTTGATGGGTGAAGGTGTGGGTGTCAATGTGTTTGAAATGGGTCCCAGTGTCACTGCTGGCTTTGGGCCGGGAGTTTAGGATAAAAGGAGGCTGCCCCCTCTGGATCCTGGAGGGAGAAAACCCCACAGGTGTGGGCCCTGATGGACTCTGTCCCTCTATTCGAGTGAAGCTGAAGGACTCCTCTGTCTCCTTTTGGAGCATAAAGTTCTGGTGTTTGTGGAATTTCTTGACACTGGAAAGCAAGAAATTATTTCCCAAGAAATATCATTCATCCTCTCCAGGCAATTCCCCCTTTGCATTCTGGGAAATTTCCCCTCTCAGAAATATTGTTACTTTCTTAAACAATGTCACTTCTGCTTTTCAGGAATTTTCCAAGTATTTGAGGCAATTTCCTCCTTGCTTTCATGCAATTTCCCTCCTTTTATTTCTAGGCTATCCCCCTTATAGCCTTGTAGGAAATTACTTCATTGCTTTCTGGAAATTCCCTGAATATTTCCCCGTTTGCTTTCAAGGACTTGACCCTAGTCCTTACATGGAAATTCCTACATTGTCTCACAAAAAAATTTCCCTTTTTTATCCAGGCTATTTAGGACAGTTTGTGTTGCAGGAATTCCCCTCTTGTTGCCAGGGCCTAGGGTGGGTGGAGGACCCTCTGCAAAGGAGCAGGTGGGAAGAGCATGGAGTGGTGCTGGCTGCTGGCTCCTGCCCCAGGGACAAGCAGCACCTGCAGGGAAGGGAGCAGAGGCATGTTTATTTACTTTCATTCCTCAATGCTTCTGTCAATGCAGAGGAGTTTCAGTTAATAGGTGATTAATTAAATTGCTAGGAATTCCCCCATTTTAAACTTTTTTTTTTTTTTTCTTTTTGCAAGCAGGACCTGCCTGGCTGGAGAGGAGGGTACCTGTCCTGCAGAGCCACAGCTGTTGTCCCCTGCCACCTCCCCAGGTCCTGCTGGCTCAGGGACATGTCCAGGAAGCTAGAAATCAGCCTCATTTAGGTCACCAGCTCCTGCACAGTGGAAGAAGAGCTGGAGATTTCAGGAGCAAGAGTCAGTTTTACAAGGAGGTTCTTAAAAGCATCCCAAAGGACGAGGAGCGCTTTCCCTGAACCTCAGCCCTTCACTGCACCAAATTTTCCTTCAAATTTAACCTCACCATACAAACCTGCACCCCACACACACCCCTGCAGCCAAAAGCCACCCAGTTTCAGGGGACCATGCTTACAGGAAGAAGGGCAAGCTGAAAGCCCACAAGTTTTATCAGCAGTCTCTTTTGGGGATCCTCCGTGTAAATCAAAAAGCAGCAAGGAAAGGGGCACCTTAAAGAAAAAAATAAAATAAACCTTTCTCTTTTAATCCACCCAAGGGAAATCCAAGAGCAAGAGCAGCATCACAGCACTACACACAGCACAGACATCTATCATTGCCTTTGCACAGATTCATTCCCAGATACACGGAGAAGTCATTCAGAAAAAAAGAAAGTTATTCACATATGCAAAGTGACAAGTAACAAATCAGCCACAAAACAACTTTTTCAAAGAGAAAAAGGATGCATCAAGGAAGAAGGCCCTCAACATACAGGTTTCACAAAAACCTAACCCAAGAATAGTGAGACAGAGATGGTTTTCTTTTCAACATTAAAAACAAGGATATTTTTAAAATTAATTTAAATACACATTCAAAACACAAACACCAAGCAGGCGCCTGGAGAATAAAGCAAAAAGAAGGAATGAAAAGTGAATTCAACCAGTTTAATTTCAACACCAAAACTGGGTAGGTTGCACCAAATGGAATAAATAACAGAGAAGATCACACTGGGTTGGTAGATCTCACACTTAAGATCCTTTAAACTAGAATTAATTACATAGCCCAAGAGAGTACTGAATGAGGAATTCCTCTGACAAGTGATATTAGCTGGGGCAGTGTCCCTTTGATAGAGCAGGTTGTAGGTGTGGATTTGCCCCCTGCCACCCACCACTGATCCCCACCCCAGGAGCAAACAGGATGTTCTTGTGATGCACAGGACTCACCCCCTCAAGTGATGGCCACACAAACAGCTCCTTGCTCAGAAAAGGTGACCCTCTGCCTCTTCCACACCCGCTGGCTCCAGGCACACCCAAGGCAAACATCTGAACACAATAGGACCTTGTGCTCTCACCTGGCAGGGTGAGCCCACAGGTGCAGCATTTCTACTGCAGCTCCACGAGGTTGGGCAGTGCCAGAACTGGAGCCAGGGCCTCCTTCCACATACATGGGGGTCAGGCTGGGAAAAAAATCAGCTCAGCTGATCTACACCTGCAGCCACAGCTTTATCACTCTAGGGGTGGGCTGGCTGAAGGAATGTAAGTGGCTTCTTGTTTGGTTTTCCCTCCCCACAACCCTGAATAAAAAAAAAGAAATCAAAACCCAAACAAACAAACAAAAAAAAAACCAACCAAAAAACAAAACCAAAATAGAGCTAAAGAAAACCCCCACAAAACAAAAAACAAAAAGCAAAACCAAAAAAACCCAAAAACAACAACAAAAGAAAACCCCCAAAACCACCCCAGAACAAAAATAACTTGATCCCAAGTTCCTCTCACTTCCGTGCTTGTAGCCAAGCAGGGAAGCACCTTTGGACATTCATGTGATCCCACAGACATGTTCCCTATAGAGCAGACACCTTATTTCTGCACCTCACCCGATGTGCCTGTGACACCTATGAGGGATATCCCTTTGCTTTAAAACAAAAATAATTACAAAATCAATAGGAACAATCAGAATTCATTTAAGTCCAACTAGTTTTTAAAAAGGGAGAAGGGAGGACTGAAGGTTTGCAGGCCAGGGAACTTGTCAAATCCAGCATCCCACCCCTGCCTCCAGCAGCAATGAGATAAGCCCCCTTTGTGCAGCATTCACACTTGAACGAGGTCAGCAGAGCCAAGGAGGTGCTGAGGGGACACAGCTGCCCCTCCAGCTCCTCCTCAGATGGCTGGCAGCTCCAGGTAGAAAGGGAAATTGAGGTGGACGAGGGTTGAAGTTATTTCTTTCCCATCTCTCCTCCTCCCCATGACCGAGACTTCTGGGTCTGCAAGCCCAGTCTGTGCTTACCAGTGTCCTTAAGAATGACAATTTAAAACCAAAAAACGGGAAATTAAAAAGAGACAGAGAGAGAGAGAGGAATAATTAAGTATTGTCCGTGGAAGGAGCGTGAGGGGCAGGTTCCAGACGGTGGCAGAGGAGGGACTCTGTCCCTGCCCGCGCTGGCCCCTCTGGGCACCGGCTCCCTTCGCGTCCCTGCGCGAACCCTTTGTGCTGTTGCTCTGACATCGACCGACACGGATGGCGAACACGGGGATGAATCCAGCGCTGCAGAGGGCGGGAGGGCACAGGCAGCCAGCCCGGGGCTAGGCCCGGCGCTTGGGGAGCATGTCCAGCAGGAATTCCGCGATGCCGACGAAGTAGACAACTTGTGCGATGCCGAAGAGAGGAGCAATGACCAGGGCTCGGCAGTAGGCCCCTTTGAAGAAGGCCGTGGGCCCTTCCCTCTGCCAGATCTTCCTGGGGAGAAAAGGCACAGACAGCTAAGTGTCCATCCCACCCCTCCACCGTGCCAGGAGAGCCCCTGGCCATGCCCTGCCTTTCTGCCTCCCTCCAGAGACTAAACCAGGCCAGCGCTGTTGCCTGGCACAGCCTCCACAGCAAATCACCCATCACCGCCCAAGTGCTCTGCAAGTGGCCATGCAGGAACTTGCCCCACCCCTACATCTGGCTAGAAGCAGGAATGGCTGCCTGAGTCTGCAAGTACAGCTAAGACAACCCCATGCTTGCATCAAGAGGTCCCCCTGCTCAAAAGCTCCACCCTCAGCATGGGACAGAGACAGATGGCAACAGATTCTGGCTACAGAGAAATACAAAAGCAGAAAAAGTCCCTTCATGTTTTGAAGCAGCCAAACCATAGCTTAGAGAGGATCAAAGAATAAGGCAGCTGGGGACAGCCCAGTCTGCCAGTGCTCCTGCAGACATTGTGCAGAGCAGTCCCAGGAGGGATCTCAGACTCAATACTGTAGGATTTTCCAACAGCAGGGGCCTTGGGAGAGACTACCACAGCATTGCCTCCCTTTGCAGAAATAAAATCTCAGTGTTGTAACTACTGGAGGTTTGGACAGAAGTATTTAAATATAAATGCTATATTTTCCTTGCTCAGTATGGGTATAAGTTCTCTTTTATAAAACTATATATATACACCTCTGCTCATATATCTATACATACATATCCAGCTAGGCATATTCATTGATAAAAGCACAGAGACAGAGGGAACATGAAGCACAGCTGCTGGCTGGGTCTAGAAACTGCTGTTGGGTCTTAGCAGCTGCCAAACACCTGATGTAGTGCCTCTGTCACGAGGACTCTTACTTGGTGCAGTCCAGGATCCCCGAGTAGGTGTCCTCATTCACTCCCCTCTGCAAGGACTGCAGCCGTGTTTTGATGACTGGGGAGGGAAGGAGAGGGGAGACACCAGTGAGCACTGGGAGCATGGCAGGCAAGAGCCATCCTGAAAGCAATGCCTTTGAAATGGTCAAAACAAAATTACCAAGAATACAGCCCACTGTCATACATTTATCAGTGAAAACAAACCCATTCCTTTACAAATGGATAAAAGAAACACAAAGCCACCCAAAATCCAACCCCTCTCTCCCTCACTGTCATCAAGGTTTCAAAAGCTGACTTAAGCTTTAAACCTTCCAAATTCAGATACCTCTCTGCAAAGTGGGAACTTATTTTCAAATGCTCATCTCCTTCAGGAAGAGGTATTTAAAATACACAGTTCTGCTCCTACATTTCTTCACACCTTGGAGCATGTGCAGTGTTGGGGAGAGAGCAGTTACTTTTCTGGTGTTCTTCACAGGAGAGAAACCAAGGTGGTATTTACAGCAGATGCTGTGGAGCAGGAGAAAAGGCCACAGATCTGAGGCTTCCCGTTTGTCCTAGACCATATAGTTGTAAGTGGTCTGAATATTATCACTCCACATGAAAATGTGCCTGCCAAGAATAACTGAAATGAATGACACCCTCTTCCTGACATACCTAGTAAGCGTAGCAAACCTCTGTGTAAGCTGTGGCCAAAGTTGTAGCTCAGCTGAACTCACACCATCAGAGCTGGAGGCAGCAGAACTGTCCCTTTCTATGTGCTCATGCAGCAAAAGGGCTGGCACAGTCACCCTCCTCCTCACCCCAGAGGTCCAGCCTGGGCCTCTGACTCCTGTCACTTGGCACCAGGCCACCAGCACAGGCTACTCAGAACTCACCATCACAAGGATTGACAGCCACTGCAGCCGTACTGCCGGCCACACATCCGGAGAGGAAGGACACGTAGAATGGAGCCTTGACATTGGGATCTTTCTGGCCCAGCTTGTTCAGGTTTGCAAACAGCGGGAAGTAAACAATGGAGAACGGGACATCCCTGCAGTGGGGCAGCAAAAAAAAGGAAGAAAGAACAAGTCAGCGTGGGACCCCAACAAACTGAGCAAAGGAAGGGCTGCAAGCATAACACATTGGCAGCACAGCCATGAGTGCTATGCAGATATCCTGGCTCTGTAATTGCAGTGCAGACAGGAGCTGAAACTCAGTGGGGCAAAAGTGACTGCAGAGAGGACAACAGGCCCATGGGAGGCACGCAGCCCTGCAGGATCAATGGGCTCCTCCTTTTTTTCAACACTCAAACCAAAGACACCAGCACATTCACAGGTCAATTGTTTAGACCACTTTTGTTAATTACAAGAGGTTCCATGCTGCCTTCCATCCCCCTGGGTGCTACTTTAGCTCTACCTTTGCTAAAGCTAGAGGAGAGTCACCCTGTGAAAACCCAAGCAAAGAGTGTCAGAGCAGGCACCAACATGCTCCGTGGCCAGCTCCCACTGCACACTCTGGGGTCTCAGGCTGACAGTTTTACTTTGCCAGCTCACAAGCACTTCTGTACAGTGTGAAAACACAGACCATAGGGCAGACAAAAACCTTTCACAGAAAGCAGAAGAATTAAATCTTCCAGGAACAAAAATACAGCCTCTCTCACTTCTCTGGCCTTCCCTTCTTTAATGTACAAAACCCGTGCATGGAAACCGAACTGAGCCAAGCTGAAGCCGACACCTCCTTTGCAGGCCCATCCCTGGGATGGGTGGTGCCTTAGCTCCAAGCCTGGGAAGCAGTGCCCTGTACTGAAGCCCACGCCGTCCTACCTTAGCAGCGTGGCTCCCAGGCCCTTGTAGAGTCCAGCAATGCCTTTGCTCCTCAGCAGCTCCCTGGTGATCTGGGTGGCCGTGGGGCGCGTTTCCACCGCGGGCTCGGCGGCCGCCGCGGGCGAGGAGGAGAGCTGGGCCTGCGCCGCCATGAGCTTCTTCTGTGCCGCTGTGGAGAGAGCGCCAGCCGGTCTGCGGCCGCTGCCGTGTGGGACAGGCAGGGACACACATCCCCAGGGCCAGCACAGCACGCACACAAAGGCCAGGCAGTGCCCTGCCAGCTTTACCCGCTCTCTGCCCATGTCCCTCAGCCTGTCCCAGTCTCTGACAGCGCTGCCACACCACCACGGCGGCGGCTGCGCTCTCCCAGCAGCTGGTTTGCCCGAGCAGGAGCAATCCTGTCGTGTACCATCTCTGCAGTGCTGAGAACAGGAGCTGCTGTGAGCAGGCGGGACATTCCCTGCTTCCAGGTGTGCCCCTGAACTGCCAGTACCACAAACAAGATGTTCCTATATGAGACACCTTCCCAAGTTCTGTTCTCTGCCTGCCTCCCCTGAAAGCAATCGTTAACCTGGGGAGTTTCTCAGTCAGATTTATAAACATCCTGGTTTCTCCCACTTTTCCAACTGATGCACTTCAGCCTTTTGGCCAGAAGATGGAGAGCACTTCAATCTGTAAGTAATCCCCAGCACACAACAGCTCTCCTGGCACACAGAGAACAGGCTGTTCACAGCATTGAAAACCTCTCCTGAACTCTCAAACCATGGCTTAAATCCTTCCAACATTTTAAAATAATACGCACAAAGAGGATAAGTAAAACCAGTGCAGAGAGAAAAGAAAAAGTAAATCCGTGATTATTCAGGAATGCCGCATCAAATAAGAGATTAAAGGACAAATTGGCCCATTTTCCAGGAAGGGCCATAAACTTGGTATCTAACAGTGTCATGCAGGGCTCCTGGGAAGCGAGGCCATAGACCAGACTGACCCCTGGAACAGACTAAACAAAGAGAAAGCATCTCTTTCCCCCAGGGTCTCCATGCCAGACTCTGGTCTCTGTTCTCACCAGAAACACTTCACAGTGCTTCAGCCCAAAGGCTCACACTCCCTGCTGCCTCTACCTGCCAGCTCACACCCACAGTCCCAAGAGCCTGATCCCAAACTTCGTTCAAATCCAGTGCACTGGGAGAATTTTATTTACTGTTTCAACCAAGAAAACTGCTGTTTTTGTCACGGAGAAAAAAAAAGTACAAGGGGAGACAAGTCATTTGGAAATAACACATCCCCTTGGGAAACTGTTAGGGAGGTGCTACAGGAGGGCAGAAGAGAGAAAAAATAGACATCAGAAAATATGGAGATAGAGGGAGCAGCACAAGAAAGGCACTGGAGGATGCTAATCCCTTCTTGGGTGCACTGGATCTACCAAGTTTGAATCATTCACAAGCTGACCACCCAGTCATCTCTCCTGCCTCTCCATCCACCAACAGCATTTGCTGTTTTGTTTGCCAAGCCTATTGCTTTGAGCAAAAACCCCACCACCTTTGTAAATTCAAGGGCCTCTGTAAAGTGAGCTGAGCAAAGTGTGGGGGAAAGTAAGTTGGGAAGAGGAGGAGAAACTTCTGCTACATCTGTGGTATCTCTGACATGGGAGAGCAGGGGGAGGGAAAAGGGTTTTCTCCACTCATTCTCTCAGCTCTGCTTTGAAAGCCCAGTCCCAGGTCTTTCCCCTCTCCCTGCTCAGGGCAGAAAAATCCACGTACCAATGCGTCCTGCATCCTGCAGCTGGATTTTGAGCATCTCCATGGGAGTGGTGACAATCACCTGGCAGGTACCTGCACCACAGCCTGCCAGCATCTCCCTCAGAAGTGTCAGCTTTTTCCTGCCCAAAGGAAAGAGAGAAAGAGTCCATCAGAGGAGGTGGCATGGAATAACACTTGGGCAGCTGGTACAAGGCCTGGGGCACATCTCTGACCCTGGGGCTTACAGGAAAGGCAGCCAAGGGGGCAGCAGAACCTGCTAGGCCTGACAGTTCAGCACAGCCCAGGCTTGGTATCTCTGCATCACCACCTGACCTGCAGAATAGACTCATTTTGTCCCCAGAAACAGAACATTCAGAAAAGCCACAAGCCCCATCAGAACAGCCCCAGACAGGAGTACACAGCCCCCTCCACCCACAGCCAGGGCACTGCAGCTCTCTTCCAGCCTGATGGTGCCTCTGGTCAGGACACAGCTTTCAGAAAGGGTATCACTTCAGAGGGCACCAGAGGACCTGAGCATTAAGGGGGATAAGCAGCTTTCCTCCTGCCAGCCTAGTCCTTTAAAAATTGTCAACAAACAGACCACAGGACAAGGAGCAAGGAGGGAAAATATTCCACTCGCTGCTTTGGAGTTCTTTGAGAAAAGCCAAGTAAATAAACAGCAAATGTGAATCAGGGAGGCAGTTCCTCTGTGCTTAGGAGCCGCTTCATCTTACCAGGTCTTCCAAACCTGAAGAAACAGCCTTTGCACTAAACTGGTCCTCTCTGAGAGACAAGGGATGGGATGGACCTTCAGCAATGAAGATTTGTGCATTCTCTGCACTACAGAGCAGGGACTGTCAGCAACATATTCTCATCCAGCAAAATGCAGAATTTCATTGACCCCTCCATTCCAAAGCTATGAAAGAGCCTAGCTAAGACTAAAAAAAGGAACTCAGGATGCAAAACCTCAAAGTTTCAATTTTCAGAAAGTGATGTGTTTTTACCCTGTAAAAAAACCTCACATCTTGGCACCAGAAAACACTGACTTGATTAAAAATTATGTCTGACGTGCTCTTTTCTAAAAGGGTTTAAAAAACGAGCGTGTATAAATCACACAGCCAGAGAGAAAGAGCCTCCTCTTTTTTCTGTTTTAAATGCAAGTACTATTTTTACCTCCCCCAGCTCTGCTCTGCAGCAGTACCTCATCTTAACCTGTTCAAGGCACATCCCCACACTGTGGCAGAAGCAGTCCCACAGTGATATTCCCTATTCCCTTGCACAGCCCAGGCACACTCCCCTGCCAGGGGTTTCACATGCACACACACAGCACAGCTGTGGGGCAGTGGGCCAGCAAAGCAGTTTCAATGCCAAGCCTAGAGGAAAGGGAGGGCAGATGCACTGTAATCCTGCTGGCCCACCACGTAAGCTGGGCCGATTTCTCCACCTCTCATCTTCTCTGGGGAGGATATGAGGGCAGGGGATTAGAGGCACAAAGCCACAACAGGGATTACCAGCAACTAAATATAGAGCTCTCCTATAAGGCTGAAAGAAAGAATATTTCAGTCTCTCCTTTCCAAATTTCCCCACAGATGAGGAGCTCCAAAGAACAATCCCTCCCACTGAGTCACCCACACGGGTGCTGCAGTGTGCATAGCAGGCTTTCCTGGAGGTATGGGGGAACTAGGGTGTGCAGATCCAGAGGTTCCCACTTCCACTGCCACTTGGAGTGGCCAACTTGTGCCTTTTGGGTGGCCTGAAGCACAGCACCAGTCTCTGAGAGGCTCGATACAGTCAGCAGCAAGGCTGCACAGTTCCCAGCCTGGCTGTGGGAGGAAGCAAACCACCCAAAGGAGCTGGCTGCCAGAATCTCTCCTTGGCACAGCAGAGCACCTCCCACTTTAGCAAGAGCCCTGGAGCATCCCTGAGTACGTATCTTCTGGCTTTCATCCAGGGCGACTGCTTTGATAACCAGTTCAAAAGATCAGGAAGATTTGGCCTACATATTCATCTTGGACCATTATCCCAGCCAACTCAAGTCAGCCTTGACTTGACTGAACTCCATGGAGCTATGCCAGTATGACCCAAGGAAGGATTTATGTATGTGGATGTATTTTAGAGATGTCAAACAGGTACACCAAAAGCATCTAGAACATGGGCTCTCAGCTTTTGGTTTGCAAATCCTGGGAACTGGGGAGACTTAAAAAAAAATAGTAGCTTAAGATAAGCAAAGCTTTTGACAGGAGGTTTAAAAGCTGCCATACAGGGGTCAAACTGCCTTTGCAAAACCTTACCAGTCTGCACACAAAAGGAAGGTTTGAAAACTGTTCATCTCTAGACAACAAAGGGGTTTATATATTTAAGGCACCACTGGCCTTATCCTCAGTGGTTTAAAAACTGGCACCTCTCAACTAACTTCAAAAGCTGCAACTCCAGCAAAGATCTGATTCTACAAATGCAGAAACCATCTTTTATCACAGCAAGGGAATGTTAAATATAACATATACCCAATAGCCTCAAATTCTGCACTGGCAGAAATCAGTTGTTCCACATTTTTTACTGATATACTATTAATTTGTGACAAATCAAAAATGTCAAATGGGAAGGGGAGGAAATTAATGTTTGATTTAAATTAGAGTTTCAAACTAGAACTGAAAAATAAAGTCAGAAAGTAGGAACTAGAGGTTTATGGAAGGCTTTTTGGGAGCAATCAGTTCAAAGTTAGGATCTCTGACAGCTTTGGTATATCGATGTCACATGGGAGCAGTGCAGGATTTTTTCAAGTTTCTGAAAAATCTTGGCCATGTGGGAATTTACTGTGTTTGGGCAGGGACCAGAACCAGCCATTCTGGAATCTGGATGGCAACATTTCCAGAGTGGAAATCTCTGAGCTGAAGAAACATCCATACAAAGCAATCCATTTCTATTTCCTACCCAAGAGGCTACTGTCCCCAGCTTGGACATCATTTTCCTCACTCATAAAATGACCTCTGCCTCTGTCTGTCAGCCCAAGAGGTTGTAGAAAGCTCCCCAGGAGTTTCAAAGCAGACAGAGACAGTTCCTTTCAAACATTTTAAACAGGGGGTCTTTGATATGGATTAGAAGACCAGCACTCAGGAGTTGTCCTTCAAAGGAAGAGCACCCTCTCTGCCACAGTCACAGGGGATGTGCACACAAACTGCCAGGCAGTCCCTAAATTTAATCCAACCCCTGGTATTCCAAGGGGGAACAACAAGCTACTGCAACTGCACTTCAGAAAAGCTGGAGCTATCATGCTGGAAATGTAAAAGCAATACAGTTCCCACTACAAGCTCCCTCTCACTTCTAGTGCCAGCTCAAAAATACCTCAGACAAGCCAAATAAAGTACTGATGTGGAACAGACACATCAAAGTAACATTGCCAGATTAAACGTTGATCTGGAAATCATTATTCCAGGTATGTGCAGGAGCTCTGTGTTGCATGTTTGGACTAAGAGGAGGACGACTCTGTACCTGTATCAGATTTGGCCTGGCAGGAAATCCCAAGTGTTTTGTTCCAATGTGAACATTTGTGGAAGTGAACAATGGACAGGGTCACATGAATGAGCATGTTGAACACAGATACAACTCACATTTCATCCCAAGACGTGTGCCTGGAATGATGACAAGGACAATGCTCCTCCCATGGGTGCATTCTGTGACTAAACAGCACATCTCCCACCACATTAACAGCTGAAAGTGCATTTACTTTTTGGCTGACCTTAGATGTCAACAGCTTCAACCCACTGCAACTGCCTGAACTCTGTGTGCTAAATAGAAGAGCTCTCCCCAAGCTGATCCTGTACTGGCACAGTGACATTATCAGCTCCTATCTCCTTCTCAAGGGGAAGGGAGAGATTTCCCCACTTCCAAGTCCCAGTGAGTTGGATGAGGGCTACCTACATGAAAGAAGTGTCTGAGTACCCAGTGGATAACTGCAGGAGAGGCTGTCTGGGCACACAGGTGCCAAAGAAAGGCCAAGCACAGTGTGTGCAGGGTGATACAGCAGCTCAGCACCAGGACTAGCACCAGCACTCCTTCTTCCTAAACTGAGAGCCTTACTTTACAGGCTAACTGCAGTTCAAGGATCAACCAGGCCATGCAACTGATACCTAAACTCATGCCACAGAAGAGATGGTCCAAGTATTTTAGGAGAGCCTGAAAGAAGAGCAGATGAAAGAAAGAGTTCTGGGGATTTGTATCATCTGGGAAGGCAATGGACAATAAGCTCCAGTCTCCACATCTGCATGAGACTAAAGGAAAGTACCTTGCTTGTCCCAGGATTACCAGTTGGCTATTTCTCTTCCCTGTGCAAAGATATAAGACAGGAGGAAGCAGAATGGAAGAAAATTTGCTAGCACAGCAAAGGCAGGATTAAGTCAGTCATGCTGGTCTTCCTAGGAATCCGAGCTGCTAAGACAGCAGATTGCCAGCCTTTGCTTCAAAACAACAAACAAAATAAAGGTCAAGATTAAATAGGACAGGCTAAGTAAGGGAATAACACCTTGGAGAAGAGCAGCAGGAAATTCATCCAGGGACATTGCAAAGTTCTTCTGAGCAACAAATTATGTAAGAAGGCATGAGACACTTTTTACTGCAGCCAAGGCAGAATATTTAACCAAGAACCTGAAAAATGAACAAAACCTGGCAAACACATGCCCAACAAAAAAAGCTATCTGGGACTCCACACTTTGGAGATAAACATGAAACCTTGTAAGACACCTCAAAGGAACTGATTTTATTGTTTAACACCCAGATTCAAAGAGGATATAAGAAGCAGGCAATACTTAAACCAATCAAAGAGGCCTCACACACTGAGCACTCAATAATCAATGATGTACTTTGAATGCTGGTGTACCATCAACCTAAACTGCCTTCTCAGCTTCATACCCAAGTGTGAGTATGAACTTTACTTCATGCGAGGAGTCACTTAGTCCTGGTGACTCCTCACATTGTTTGTTCTGGACAATGAAGCCACTCCTATTTTAACAGCAGACATGAGACTTAGTCTCTCAACACATGCAGCTTCAAAAGCCAGAGTTAAAAAAAATCCCACCTGTTTCCAGCAGGCTGAAGACTGGAAGCTTCCCCTTTCTCCACACTCTGCCTTCTCTAGCCTAGTGAAAACTCTTCTCCACAGAATGACACAGGAACAAAGATCTGTCTGGAGATTATTCTGTGTGTCACCTTCTTCTCCTGGGAACTGCTGAGGCTCTTAGGTCAAAATCATCACAGGAAATCACTTGACCCTTATTGCCTTATTCAGTCATGGTCATGGGATGCCCTTCAGGTTTTTCAGTATCTAGGTCTCCCCTCCTCTCCTCCATGGCAGAGCAAGCATGTTTTCAGCAGTCACACAACTCACTAAGGTCTCCCTCATTTCTAAAAGACCAGGACAGCTTGGGACAGCTCAATTTTGTTTCTGTGAGAACACAAAAAGCTGTAGCTGTAGGCTACATAATATATAATGGCCTTGACATTAAAATAGAAATTGGCAAAGAAACAGAAATTACATCCCCCAGCCTGTAAGCACACATGCCCCCTGTACCAAAAGGAGGGAAAAAAACATGGTACAGGCAGGAGTTAGTCTCAGGGTGGAGAGAGCTGCAGGAACACACACCTGCACACTCAGGGAGAGAGCTGCACCATCAAGAGCATGGGATACCTTGGGAGGGCCTGCTGCCCCAATGCTCCACCTCCAGCAGTGTCCAAGAGCAGAGGCAGGGAAAAGGGAGTCTAGCACAAACCTGTAGTCATAACATCCCTAAAATACTCTTCCAGCAATTTGCAGTCAGGAGCTTCCTACACCACAGGTGCTGTTTTCAGTCTGGCCTTTCAAAAATAGGCTTTATGCCACTTTTTATCCTGGTTTAAAAGCAATTTCAACACTAATTTTTTCAAAGGATAAAAATACATACATTAATGTACACTGAAAGCTGTTTAACTGGAGTTTACTTTGAGTCATGCTGGATTTGCCACACTCTCTCTGGTCCACACACGCTTCCTCCTTTGCACATTGAGGCCTATTTTAATATCACATATTTTAATCAGCACATACTGGTAGAATATGCACATTTTATCAGAAAAGGATTACTAACTCATGCAACATATTTCAAGCAAGATAAGTGCTAGATGCTTAGCCCTAAGGCATTCAATGTAAGCAGGTCTAGCAGCCTGCTGCAGGTTTCAGTCAGAGCATCCCTTGGAATACTGACCTAGGGGCACAGCATCTGCAAATATACACAGCAGACAGATTGGCTTGTGCAAAAAGGACTTTGGTGGAGCTGAACCAAGACCTTGCTGATCCAGCCTTACACTGATCCTAACCCTCACTTTGCTTTTGCCCAGTGTTACACCTTGCCTGATGCAATTACATATCAGGAAATGAAACCACATCCATGTGCCAGGCAGCTCCAGGCTTCACCTTTCTAACCCCACGTTATTTTGTTGTTCATAACTAGGCTTTGGCTGGACTTGTGAAATAGGTGGCCCAGCCTTGTGCTAGCAGGTATGCACCCTATCCTGGGTAGGAGAGCACTGCTAATCCTGCCCCATCTTACTGAGGCAACTGGGGAGGACAGGACAGAAGCATCCCAAGATCCCACATTCATAGTCTATACCAGCCACAGCAAACCCGCAAGGCATTTTTCTTCCCATCATATTTTAGGGTGACATTTCCAGGTAGAAACACCTTAAATCATCTACCCCAGTAGTATCTGCCTCTCTGTCCAGCCCATGCTGGCTACCCTCAAGAGCACAGCTGACCAGATTTCACTCATCCAAGCCCCCCGTGGTGGTTAAATGAGAAGAGTGACTTTGACTCCACATGCTGCCTAGCTCTTCTCACCTAACTGTGGCCCAACCTCTCTTTTCTCTAAAAGAACTAAAAATGCTCTGTGTTGAGACACAAAGACGTCCCACTACCTGGGTGGTATCACGCTCCTGCTCTAGGTCACTGTAGTGCCAGACTCATCAGTATGTAAGATTTAGGAGAATAGAGTGTCTTGCTCTTGGAAAAATTCTCTAGCTCCTTTATTCTGAATTAAATGCAGCACATCATCTATGTCATGTGTGCACCATCCAGTGACCCAAAGTCAAACTGGAAGAGGTCTGAGTGAAAACCTCAGCTGCCCATGGAAACAGCTGCACCCCACTTACCCAAAGATCTGTTCAAAGCTGGACTCAGCACTGAGGCAGACACACACACTTGTCCTCTGAGGAAGCTTTCACCTCTCATGATGCAGGACATGGACTGACAGGCATGTCCCCTTTTAATGGCTGGAACATCACAGCAGCGATTGCTCTCTCAGAACGTCAAATACGTTGCAATGCTAGTCTGATTTCTTCCATGAAACCATTCCCTTAGTGGCAGTACAAGGTGTGGCAGGTTGGCACCCTGTCGGACCACTTTGTAGGTGGTGGCAAAAGGCTGTGCTGCTGTTTACTGCAGTACACCAAGGTGTGCCAGTCTGTCTGCTGCAGGGATGAGACACAGCTCTTGGTAGAGGACATCATTACCTCCCACTGTCTGAGCAGAGCACGGAATACAGGCTATTCAAAGACTTGAGTCACAAAATCACAAAGTGCTGTGAGCCGATGAGTCACGCAGACATATGTTAGCTGCTACTTTAAAGGACTCCAGAACAAAAGAAAAAAAAAGAAAAGGTACAGGAAAAAAATGGATTCTCAATCTGTCAGTCCACAATCTCGACAGAAGTTGTTGAGACACTGACTTGCAGCAGCCAAGACTGACGTGATGTGTTTTGGGAAGTTGTTAAGCCCAGTAATTGTGCTGGAGCTTTGCATTTTCACTGAGGCCCCACCCCATAACTGTTCATGGGAATTGTTGGGATCATATCCCAAGCAGGCTGTCATTCTATCTACTGCCACTGAGGACTGGAGACAATGCCCTTGTCTGCCTCTCTCTGATGGGAGACAACTATTTCCCATGCAATTTGGAAAACATCTTGGTGAAAGCAGCATTAAATATTCAGGATCCAGCTCCTCTCAACTGCTCCAGCTTATGCCTTTTACTCACATTTAATTGACATGAACCAAACTCCACTTGCAAGCTGAATGGGTAATTTTATTCCTTCAGCATTTATTTGAAGGTCAGCTGCTCCAAGTGCCCTTAGTCAATACAGATTTACCACCTCTCTAGAATTATTTTCAAAGTACAAAAGAAGAAGAGGGGTGCTAAATTTGGGGTCTACAGAACTTGATACCTTTTTGAGCCAGAAGGAGCATAAAAGGATGCTGAGGACAAGAGTCCTCCCAGCAGCTGTTTGAGCAATGATCAGTGACACTGGGTTCCTCTCGAATACTTAGACTACACATTCTGGATCTGCTAACCTTGGCTTAAGTCTGGGATTATTTTTAGAAGCTTGAATAAAGAGCAGTCATCCAGTGGAGTGCTTCACGCTTCCCATTTTAGACATTGCATCCTTAGCCTGAACGTAATCACCAGCTGAGCTGTTCAAGGTCAACTCATATTTCAGTCATTGCACTCTCCCATTCCACCTTTTTCTGATGTCTCACCAGACACGTTCCAAGGGTCGGTGTCTTTTAAGTTGACGGCAAAAGGTCAATTTCCTACTCACCCGTCTTTGGAGAGGTGATGCCGGAAGAAGTCATTGGCTGCCAGTTTGATAGCCTTTTCTGGTGTCACTAGAGTCAGGTTCACTGCAGCCCCTGGGCAAGGAAAAGAGAAAAAGGACACTGGATAATGAGAATAAAGGAAATGTTAACTGGATCCTTCAGGAATATGTTGTAACTTCTCCACAAAACCAAGGACAGATGAAGGAGAGCTCACAGTGTATCAAAGGGATTTAGAAATACAAAACACCACTGAAAATTACCAGTGTTTCTGCCTCCCAACACCTTGGGTTTGTGAAAACATCCCCAGATGTGTTTCTACTCCATTTGCCATATGTATTTTGTAATTTCTTCAGCTTTGCTACTACCTCCCACCATGTATACATGCATCCTTGTCTCTCATCCAAGCATGCATTCCTATGAATTCAGAAGGATGCACATCAAACTTTCAGAAAAAGAGTACAAATGGTGTAACAACCAGTCCCAACTCCTTTGTGATACTGAGATATCCATGCCCTGCCTTCTCACTGGCATCCCTTCTCTGTTTCCTCCTCAAAAAACACCACAGCAGCTTGATTACCAAGCAGCTCAGAAAAGGCAGAGCCTCTGAAAGACGTGGAGGCTGGCTGAACTCACCTGGCTCATCTGCACAGAGCCAGCTCTAGACCAGTCCTTAGAGCAAAGTGGCTTCCCCTGTGTATCACCACTGGGTGTCACCCCCAGAACGGCCACCGCTGAAGTGGCTTTTTGCCCACCACAAGCTGCAGCACACAGAAATTCCCTCTCAGCTCCATGGCAAGGCTTGCTGGGGGACGTGGGCTGTAAACAAGCCTTGGCTCCCTGCATCCCCCACCCGCTGGAGTGCCCTTTTGTCGGGAGCAACAAACAGCAAATCCCTGTATTGTGCCTGTCACAATGAAAGGTCTGCATGGCCTGGATGGCTGCTGTGGGTCCTGAACACTGGTATTAGTGCAACAGCAGTGCAGCACAGTGGCTGGAAAAGGCTTTCCAGCTGCCCTGGGGGAAATGGGGTGAGGGAAGGGCCAGTCCCTTCCCAGCAGAGTGGGGTTTGCACCATTAGATTAACACTCCAGCACATTCTCCTCCATTTAAATCCTACGGTTCAGAAAGTCCTCCAGTGGATAGCCTCAAGCTCTCCCTACCTGCACTGAAATGTACTGAGCTCCAAGCCCTCCAAAGGAGCTACACTTGAGACTTGTAAATGGACTTCAATATCTTTGTAAGAACAAACAGAAATACAGGCATTTATGCTTGTCTCTGAGACTTAAACAATTTATCCCAAAGATTCACATTCCAAAGAGAAACAGCCAGAGAAGCCTGTACCCCCAGGAGGCTCCAAAGACCTGGTGGGGTTCATTTTCAGAACCTCTGAACCAAGTTGACAGGCGCTATAAGGGCAAATACACCTAGAGAAAGTCAGCTCAATCCTTTATTCCTCGGGATGGACTCTCCTCTCTTCAAAAATTGAAAGACAAAGGTTTAGGGGGACTTTCCTCAGACTAGGAAGCAAAGTCATAGTGGGACTTTTGGGACCACTACAACAGGAATCCTTGGCCTTACATCCTATGCTCAGAAGACACACCTCCACCATTCAGAAAACTGCAGCAAGAAAAGACAGCCTTTGCTGCTCAGGTCTGGGCAGTCCAACACATCTTCCCCCATTTCATCTCCCATGTTTAGATTTTGCAGAAAATACAGAGTAATGCTGCCTCATAGCAAGCCAAAGCAATGCATTCATTCCACACTGACATCCAACAAATGGCATCATCTTTTACAGTAGACAAATCAACTAGCAGGACAGGTCCCTCACAATTCTGGTTCTTTGCAAAATTTAAGGGCACCAGTGATTGCACTGCTTCAGTTTGATATTCTTCCTACACATCATGTCCCCTCTGCCATGCCTCTTGCACATGAAGAGAAGGCTCACAGAAATGATCTTCACACTCCACATCCACCTTCTAATGCCAATCATATCAGCATCTACACAGCAAATCCACACAGCCTAATTTTAAGTGGAAGTGGCTACCCGTAAAGTGTTTCCTCAAACACCAAGTTGAAAACAACTTCAATGGCACTCCCAATGGCTATGAAGTATAACACCTGTACACTGACATGCAGCATGAATAACCCTTTCCTTGGAAAAGAAAGAAGAAAAAAAGCATAAACTCATAACAGCAGTGAAAAGGGTTCACTGAAAGAAAGCAAACCAACTTCAAACTATAAAGCAAGAAAGGTACACAAGTACACTTCCACATGCTGACCTTCAGGAACCAAGAAGCTTTCATGGAAGTTTCTCTTCAATTGCAAATAAAGCTGAGGGTAAAAACATGCAATATACAGGAAAAAAAGTTAATGAACCTGGGTTTTCTCCTACATCTTTGATATTTTCAGAAAAGCTGCTTAGCAGAGACTGGATAATCCCTGTCCTGAATAATCCATAACAGCTTCAATTTACTGGAGGAGGAGAAATTAGATACTCCAGCTGCTGGCTGTATGCTTTCCACAGCAGCTTCTTCTTTTTGTAAAGTCTCCTCAATTCTACCCACACCACTGAGTACTTCCCTAACTAAAGCCAATCTTGGCCTACAGGCAATGCTACATATACCACAAGCAAAGACAGACAAACAGAATGGAAAAATAAAAAGCACTCATTAAAAAACAAAGCATTTCAAAAAGAAGTAAGGAAACACTACAAAGAAGAAAATCAACCAGGGGCAAAACCAGTTGTTTGCCAACTAAACTTACAGGACCCTCTTCTCACCAAGCCCTGTTTTTTTATTAAAACCCATTTCTCACAGAAGCCCTTATACATCACCAGCATCCTACATAACAGGGGGATTGAGTCACCCCCAGCGTTGCACTGGCAGACATTATTAGCAGAGGCCAGGGAGGGCTGCCACACTACTGCAGTTGAAGTGCAGCTACTCTCCAAATGTCACCAACAGCAAAGGGCACTTCCTCAGCCTCATCTGGGCCTTTGGCTCCTGCCAGCTTGGCTAAACACTTGTCTGTAAACAGCACTGGGATTGCTCAGAACATGTACTGGGATCTTTAGGTGGCTTCTGGCTGGACTGCAGATGGACTGAGAGAGTATCTCTCCAACGTCCCCTATTACTGATGCCCATGAAGACCACAGGCACTATGGATTCATTCACTTGGCATCATGTTTTAAGGCTGGACACCATCAATTCCTTGAGCACAAACAGGGCTAGACAGCACCATCCAGCTTTGAGGCACTGCTGCTAGATGTTATGGGAAAAAACACGAGGGAACTCCTCTTCTTCCTGCCCCAAACAAATCCAAGAATAATCCCTGTTAACTTTTGGGGAAGAACTTGAGAGAAACGTTTGGAGTGCCTTATATATCACACAGTTTGCTATGGGCTACTCATATAAAGCAAAGACTGTTTGCCCACACAAACACCTTAAGAGGCAATTTGCAAAAAAAAACTTCCTACAAGCACAAGCCACTCTCCTGTCTGCACTGAGATGAAGGAGCCCTGAAGACACACAGCAGCAATGGCTGTGCCTAAACAGACCCTTTCTGTCCTCTGACAGAGGCCAAAGGATCTGCAGGGACAACTGACGTGCTTGTGACTCCTCTATGGGGAGCAGCAGCTGTTACTTTAGCACATTAACATATAATCCTCCCAATTTCAGCTTAAAGCCTGCAAATAAGATCTTGTGAGTCATTCAGCAAACTCTGCTGGGGAACTAGGACAGCTGGAAGGAGCAGGAACCAGTCCCACCACCTGATTTCCATCTTTCTCTGCAAGGCTCAGACATCTCTTTACCTTCTTTCCAGAAAAGTACTCACACAATCTTCATGGACCTTGGATGTATTTTACCCACCAACCCTCTCCCTGAGAGGGAGGGAAGAGCTACTCATGTTAGCTCACAGAACTGAGGCACAGAGACCAGGATTGCTGCTCTTGGGAGTACTCATATTTGCACCCTGGCCATGCTGAAGTATCTGTCATTTTCTGGAAGGAGCTGGAGCTATTAAAAAAAGGCCTCTCCAACCCAGCTCCCTACCAAATAGCTAGAAGTAATTTCAAGCAACTATCAGCACTCTGAACAGAGTTAGGGACATGGACTAGGCTGACCAGACTTGGGAAAAGCTAGGAAAAGAAAGAGGTATGCAAAACCCTCTGCACTCTTCTGCCTGGGGATGACACGTGGCCTGGAGATCCACATCCTCTTTACCACTCTATGCCTTAAAGGACAAAGCTGTCTCTTCCAAAAGTCCTGATCCTCACAAAAACTCTTGGTCCTACAGTCTCCCCTATAAGCTTCCCCAAACACCTCCTTCCTTCTGCCTCCCACCAAGCAGCCTGCCATTGCACATTTACAGCCAAAGTTAACACAAGCTCAAATTCCTGGCTAGGAACACAGAAGCAGCCAGCTTCTGGAAAAATCAAAGGGGAACACGTCACTGCTAGCATTGAAGATGGAGCTTGCCAGGGTTCCTCGAGGTTATTTGTCTCGTTGCCTGCTCCCAGGAAAGCTGATGCAAAGCAGCCAATCCATCCCTGCCATCCACCACACTCCCCTGAAACGCCCACCAGGAAATTGGGCAAGAGATGCTGCTTGAACATCCAGTGCTGCTCCCAGGCTGGCCGGCCACAATGCCTGTGTTTCCTTAGGAGCAGGGCAGAAGCAGCAAGAGACACTCAGTGCACATGCCAAGAGCAAGGCGCCAGCATCTCTGCATTTCCGCTTGGGCAAACAAAGAGCAAGGACTCAACCATAGCAGTGTAACTTTAATCAGGCTTTATCAGTGACTGGGTGCCACCAAGAATACTATCTGAGCACCCTAGATAAAAACTGCATATGCAAGCAAGTGACTATCAGGACATAAAATGAACCAGAGCTCAGTGTCAATGAAGCCAGTTGGACTGTGCTGTAAGCCAAGGAGGTATTCCACATTTTCCTCTGCTACAAGTACAGTCAGAATGTGGCCTGCTGGTCTCCTCTCCTCAAAATCTTTAAAAACTTGCAGGGATTTTGTGTTTAAACTAGAAAAGGTATAACATCAGCTGAGGAACTCACTGTTGTAGCAGACAGCCTGAGCCAAGGAGTCGAGGGATTTCTAGCAAGTCAGCACACAACAACCAAACAGCTGAAACGCCACCCTGACCCAACCTTGGATTTTCTTATCATCCCAAGGGAGTTTTTTGCAGGCCACGTTATTTTAATTTTTTTTTTTAATTGCAGCTTATCTTAATGCTTGAACAAGGCACTTGGGCATGCTTGAGACAGCAGGCCTGATCATGCTGGTGGAGGGCTTTGACATAAATTCAATCATTAACCACAGAACTTTAAGAGTTGGTTTGCTACTGCCCCTCTGTCAAAAGCTACCATGCCCAAACTGGGAAACATAACATACAGTCCTGAAGGAAAGTCCAGCAGCTTCACTTAAACTGATAGTAAAGAAATTCATTAAGTGGCAAGGTTTAACACCAAAACAGTCATGAGGAGGACTCAAGTCCTCAGTGGTAGATATCTGAATAGACACCTGCATGGAGGAGTTTATTTTTAGAAACAGCTGCACTGCTCAACCTCCTAGGATATTGCCAGGTTATTGCTTTATATGCGAGAGAACAGAGCTTTTCCTCCTACTTATGCACCAGTGCTTCCAACACAAAAGCTGTGCTGTGCCTGAGTCAGCTGTACTTACCTCTGTACATGCCAAAGTAGCCTTCCGACCGAATTGTTTTAATGAGGCAGTCAGACCTGCAAACAGAACAGAGGGAGATGAACCACAGGACCTCAAAGGTGGGTGAGTGCAGAGAAAAACAAAGCGAATTTCTTGGAGTGGTTTCCATTTACATTCTGTCAGCAAAACCCTCAGCTGAGATGGGAACTGCTCAGCCTCTGAATGTGCCATTGTTGAGGCCTGAGTCCAATTTCAACCCCTAATTCACAGGGGCTTTGAAACCCCTGGCTCACCCTTCACACACTGTCTGCTTTCTAGAAACACAAAAGGGAAAAGTGTCACTGCAAGGGCTGTTTATGCAGGGTCCCCTGTGGCAAATGTACACGAGATGCTCTAACAAGCAGATCCCCGTGTACACATTTTTAAATCCAGCTCTGGAAGGGAAATAAGGGAGGGCCAAAACCCCCCCACGCTGACTTGTTTGACTTACTCTGTGAAATTTGACACAAGGCACACAAACACGAGATGACCTGAACACTCAGTCATCTGTGGCCTCCCACGCAGATCAAAGCACACACTTTTAACACATCAAGTCCCACAGCAGGCAGCAAGCACTCAGGCTCTTGCCCTGAGGAGAGCGTGGCAGGGTACTGTGCTCCAAGGGGAAAACTGTCACCTTCCTCACTGCAAGCACATTTACTACAAATGGGAACCCTGCAGAGCACTGGAATGGCTCAAAGGCTTTTGAAGGCACAGACACACACACCCCTAGCAAATCCAAAGTCACGGTTCAGGAAGGCTGCACAGATTCCCCTCTCTGGACCACAGGTGCATGAAGCTGGGATGCTGCCTTTAGGGTGTTTGGGAAGAAAACAGGTACTTGCTGTAGCCATAGAGGAAGGGAGAGGTGCACATGCATTTATGTGTACATAATTTAAGGAATAAAAGGCTCTTTTAAGCAATAACAAGAGAAGTGTGGCTGATGAAAACACGAATACATTTTTAAGAGATCTGGCAACACAAGGAGTAAACTTCTCAGCTCTGCAGTAGTGGTGAGGTGGAGGAGAAGGAAATACAGAACTTCCTTGAGGGGTTTATGGCCCTGCCTGGGTCAAGGCTGTTTTAAAGTTGCTTGTGAAGAACCCATCCTGTATTGCTGCCAGTCATGGCAATGAGTATCCCCTCCGCTGGGACTCCCTGAATCCTCTGGCATCTCATTTTTCACACATTCCACCCCAGCCCCTGTAAGTCACATGTACTCATCTCCTTCTTCTGAGCAGCCACTCCAACACATCTGCAAGCCCCAGAAATCTCAGTGCAACTTTCTCCTATCCCTCCCATCAAGTTCTCACACTGCAGTGCTGAAGGGAACACATTTTCCCTAAGCCAGTGATTCTGCTTTGAACAAGCCATAGCAGGGAGAGGAGTGAGAAGAGCTGCTCCCATCATTTTCATGCAGCCCTGCTGCATCAGGATAGAGCTTGCACGTCACTTAAAGCCCCTCAAGCTGCAGCAGAGTAAATGCAGCCAAGGCCACATTTTCTCTCCCTGGAAAAAGGGAGCCAACAGCCAATTAAAATGACGCATAACATACCTGGGGCAGCACAGCCCCAAAGCCAAGCTCTCTCCACCCCTCAGAAGTCCTCCAGTGTCTGTCTTTTTCAAGTGAAAGGTTCCCCTGATGTCATAGATCTCTTCAGCCAACATTTTAAAGGAACGTGCTGCATTCCTGGGTGTTCAGCAGACACCATGTCATTGGTATAATCAGGAAATCTAGTATTGATGGGCACACATCAGCATTTCCAGAAAAATAAGCCCCTGTAACAGGGGAAACTTTCTTAGTAAAGCTCAGCCCTTCCCGTTCTTAGAAGCAGCCAGTTCAAATATACAGGGTAAATCCTATGTAGTCCTTAACATCTCCTCATGTCACAGCAATTCCTGGCTATGGAACTGACTTGCACTTGACTGCTGGAGGATAAAAGCCTCTCTCCTACCGAGCTCCCTTCCAGGCATGAGACATTCTGGCAGGCAGTCCCAAGGGGTGCCACAAGTTCTTCACTCTGCCCAAACCCTTGCTGCTGTCACATGTCAGGTCAGGAGGAAGAGTGGTCCTCAGGGAGGTGAAGCAATCTACAGCAGGAGCAGGACAAAACAAAAGGGGATGCAAAGCAAGATGGGTGGCCACAGGCCACATCCTGCCAACAGTGCAGGGAGCAGAGCACAGGAACTGTCAAGGGAAGCACCAGAGCCTACAGCCTAAGCTCACATCATCAGCTAGAGCAAGGAGGCACAGAGACTAAAGCCATCAGCACAGAGAGCATTTCCTTCCTACTCCCCCTCTGCTTCAAATTCTTCTGGGCAGGTAAGAGGAAAAGATGGTGTGGAGGAGCAGGGATCAGGTTACACTAGTTCTAAACAAAGTGGTAGGAGGACAGGACATACCTCACCAGTCCCAGTCCTTTCTTCCCCTCAATACCACCAATTCTTTTGGAAAACTAAGGCCTGTCTCTGGTTCCCAGGATAAAGCATTTTGTGCTGAGTGTGGTACACATTGCCACAGCAGATATGCAGCCCTAAGCACTCAACACACACTCCAATTTGAATTTGGTGGGCTGGATACACTCATGCCTTCTTTTCCTACAGTTCAATACCAGGGGTTTTTGGACACAGGACGGCCAGTCTAACTGTAGCATGTGTCAGCCTGTGATCCTTTAAAAGGCCCACATGCCACGATCTGGACTGGGAATGAGTGACTGCTTCCTCTTTTTAAAACTAACACAGCAAAGGAAGGATCTCCAATATCAGAGCAATGGAAACAGAATAGAGGCAGAAATTCCCTCAGGCACCTGACTAGCTCAGCAGACTCCCTGTGTTGGGGATCAGCTGATCAGGATTCCTTGTGTTTCGGTTCTGAGCCCTGGCAGCAGTGAACAGGCTGCTCCCAAGCAAGGGATGCAAACAGATGTGCCCTCTGCAGAGGACTCCTCTGCTCGGCTCAGCAGCCTCAAGTGCTGCTCTATTTGCTTTATCTGCTCTAGCACAGCTTGGCTCCAGACTGTCCCCTGGCTTTCCTGAGGAAAGCCCAGTTCCTAAAGATGCTGAGCTCACCTGGAAAAGGTACCAAAGTGGAAGGACTCCCCGTGGAGAGCCCCGAGGGATGGTGCCCGTGTGGGTAGTACTCACAGGCTGCTGTACATCCGTTGACCATTCTGCTGGTTCTGCAGGCGAGTTTTTGCCAGGTCAATGGGAAATACACAGGTGACCCCAATCAGCCCAGCTATCCCTCCATTGATCAGCTTGGCAGGTAAACTGTAAGGGGATGAGATAGAGACAAACAGATATCTTAGAACTGGGTAATAGCAGGGAAGGGAAAGATGAAAGAGCTGAGCTCTTTTGCATGACCAGAGTTAATGCATCACTGTGAGACAAGACTGATCCCCCCAGCACAAAGGAAGCTCTTCCACAAAGCAAAGCTTGGTTCCTGCTGTGCAAATGAGGAGGCAGAGAAAGCAGCACATACCATCAGGACAAACCACTGATGAGTGGAGTGGAGCCAAACACCTAACCCACACATTACCAGGAGCAGAAAAAAATCCTGTTGCCCAGGATTTGGGGATTTCTGTTATCCCTAGAGGAGAAAACACTGAGTGCTGGACCATCTACCATGTGGACGGCCTTCAGTTAGGGCCTGATGGTATCTGAGCCAGCAGGTTTACTGACAAACGCTTTCCTGCACCACAATTGGACCCGCAGCTAATGAGAGGTTCATGACACATCAGCTGCTACCATCATGTGGGAATGGGCCCAGCAGAATCACCCAGCTGGCAGCCGTGGAGCAGATGGCCACAGCCACGGGAAACTGCTTCCAGACCCACGGCCCAGGGCCAGGGGAACACACAGAGAGCAGCAGCCTGGCGAAGGCAGCGGGCTGGCTGCCCGCACGGCTGCAGGTGCACAGACGTGAGCTCAGACCTCTGGGGGAAATCAAAACTTGGCTTGCTGCACGTGCTTCTGAAGCACGGGGCTTTTTACACTCCCCTTGGTGCCCCCACAGAGAATTCTTGCAAGTGGCACTGAGTGAAAGCCACATCAGCTAAACACGGGTTCCCAGCAAATTCAATTAAGAAAAATGTCCTGCACTTACATGCTCAATAAACCACTGCACACAGAGACAAAGAAAGCCTGTTTGAGTCAGTTCCCTCCAATAAAGCACAGGATATGGCTCCCTGAACACAGGATGTGTCAGATATTAAACTGATGGCAGACAGTGAGCCTGCAAGGCCTATCCTCCCACCGAGGGAACCAGCACACTGCCTTCCATGACTGTGACTTGCTGCTCTGGATGGGGGGGACAGACTGCATTACCCTCTAGAAACAGCACTGCTGAAGCTGGCTGAGGCATGGTGGGGTGAAGCCCTGCAGACATCTTCCCCCCAACAGCACTCCAGAGCACTCTGCATCAAGGGGCAAGTGCAGAGAGGATCAATAAGCAGCCATGCTTGAGGAAAAGGCAGGATATGGAGACTCAAGCTTTCAACTTGAAGGGTCCCTGAGGGAAGCAGACAAATGAGGGATGGAAAAAATAGAAAAGACTTTGTCCACAAGTGCTAAGCATGGTCTTGACACGTCAGGACTGACATACTGATACACCTTGACACCTCTGCTGTCCTGCACACAAAGCTCCTTCCTCCTCAACACCTGCCAGTACAGCATACACAGCCCCAGGGCTGGCACAGTTGGAGGAAGAGGTGCCAAGGACAGGCAGACAGATCTGAGCTCAGCCTACGGCTCCAAGCTAGACAGTGCTGACTGAGATTAAATCAGCACAGTACTACGGGAAGACAGGCCCAAATCAGGGCACAAGCTCAGTGCAGAGCCAGCTTTTAGACCTCACCACCTCGACTGTTGCCTCAGGGATCTTTGTGCCACAGCCTAAGAATGGAATAATTTGCTTGCAAACTTCTACACTCGACTTGTTCTCAGGACATGGGAAAAATTTCAAACAGTAAGCTTCACTTCATTGTGCTCTCCTTATTTAACCCACAGTCACACTGAAGGAGGAGGTTAGAGACCAGATAAAAGTGTGCCAAGATGGAGACACCATGGAGAAGCAAGGTGTTTGAAAACAGGATCACCTCAGCCTCCCCAGATTCAGGCCTAAAGTCACTGTTGGCAGGTCACAGACCGTGAGGCACAACCATTGCCCCCTTCCAGCCTCAGCACTGTCATCACTTCTCTAAGTGTCCCTGAAACACCTGGGACAGGCAAACCACTTTTCTTTCTCAACCTGTTCCAACAGTGAAATCATCACAGGGTTTATATCAGGTGGGACTGAAACATAGACACAAAGGTCTTGCCTGTTGCTACTCTAAGTGCAAGAGATTCCCCAATTTCAGCCCAGACCCCAGCAGTAAAGGGGAATGGTCTGACATGCCTGGGCAAACCAAAAATTTGAGGCTGCAGACAAAAAAAAATTGAGGCTGCCTGTAGGGGAGAAACCCTTGCTCAATATTCCCATCACATCTGAATCTAACCATCCAGATTTCCCCAAGAACACTGCAGGGGGAAAGCAGTATGGATGGACTACGGGGCAGTATCCAGCCAGACACTGAGATTAAATTCTACATGCGCTGCTGCAGAAATGCAGTGCCCTTGATCTCACCTTGCAGCAAACCTCTGCTGTTGATTTTAGTCTTTTGCTATCAATCATGTTTCTACTAAGGGGTGACAGAAACAAATCTCCTTGGCTTGGCTGCCTGTGACCACTGCAGACATGTGGTGCCATCGACTGGAGAGATGACTAGAGCAGGAGAGGTGAGAGATTTGAGGCACAGAGAAGAACATGAGATAAAGACAACTGTACCTGAATCAAAAGCTTTTTCCCCTGCGACTGAGTCATCTCACTTCACATGTCAGTGCTTTCTCCTCTCTCAAGGGATAAGAATCCACTGTACCTGGTCCCTCTGTCCTATTTAGCTTCTGCACAGCTACTGCCTCTCACTACCTACGTGTGCAGGGCTTAGTGAAATGGGGACAATGCAGGCTAGCATGCAAATGAAGCCATTTGCTCAGATTAATACAGGAAGGAATACAAATGCATCCCAGTTCTCCTCTTCTAGTGCTCCTCCTCAGCCCTTTTAACTTGTTGCCAGCAAGCTCCTGCTCACACCTCCAAGGGCACACTGGAGGAGCCAGGGCACATCTTGTAGGACACAACTCCTCTTGTAGGACACGTCTCCTCTTTCTTCAAAATACCAGGCTTCAGTCACAGACGTCTGATCACTTTGCTTTGCTGAGGTTATCAGGAACATAGACCTGCCAGGCTCCATGGAGGTGAATCTCAGCATGCCCTTCATGGGTGTGTTGGAAGAGTTCCAAGTGCTTTCCAAATTGGGTAGCGGATGATGGCCAAATCTAGGCACACAAACACTCCACAATGCTGGATTTTTATCAGCACGGCTCAGGACTGTTTACATTTGCAGAAGACAGGCGTACAGGAAGATATCCTAATCCTGGTAAACGCTAAGAAGGGGCAGCTCTCTTGCCTGCAGCATTCAGACACTGCCAAGTCCTGTCCTTCTGTCACCACCTTTCCTTCACCCACTCACCCCACCTGTCCTGAGCTGGTAACCTGGAAAAGTAGATGTTAAAAGAAAAGCAACATGAAAAACCCCACAGGAATCCCACAGCACGCAGGAGTCACTTAGCTGTGGCAACATCAAAAGCAGCAAAAAGTCAAACCCATGTGAAGGACTGTACAGGTCCACCTTGACACAGCTCCTAGGAAGCAACAGGTAGAACTGTGTCCTTCCAGGAAATGAATCCCAGTTCGCTTCCAGAGAAGACTCAAATCCAGCCTTTACCAGAACCAATACTCTTAAGTTTCTACTGTGCACATTAAGTGTCATTAATCATTGTTGGTACTTCATGCTCCTGCTATCACTCAAGCCTTGACTGTAGAGTAAGGGAACAAGGCTGTGTGGACTTTGTCATTACAAGTACTGCATCCTGGGCAAGGACCTGGCTTTGCTCCCTTGATGCCAGCAGCTGAAGTCAGCAGGTCAGGATGACCTTTGAAAGAAGAAACAAAAAGGAATGGACTCATGCAGGATAGAAAGCAGGGAGTAGAAAGAAAAAGGCAATGAGAAAAAAGAACTGAAGAAAGCAGAGATGTGACAACATGGCAGAGACAGAAAATAAGAGAAGGTTCAAAAAAAGCAGGTAAGAAAGGAGAAGAGAAATAATCAAAACTGTTTAAGGCCAGAAGAGACGATCAAGTGATTTCCTCCAACCTCCTGGATAGCAAACGTAAATTAATTTGAAAGATTTAAAAAGAAAAACCTAAAGCACAATTAAAAAAAAACATAAAGGTTACCTGATCTGTTTATCAGCCATTTAATTCAAAATTGATCTTGTTAAGAAATGAATCTGTTCCTTCAAATCGTTCTTTTCCAGTCACTTGTTTCTCACTTCAGTTTCTTCCTGGGAAACGACAGAAAGACACCAAAAACACAAAGTTGAGACACTTATACTCTTCTTAAAGCTCAGAAGCTACTTGGCAGGCAGGCTGTAGGGTTAGGTCAGCTGAGGGACAAGTGACTTAAGGGAGCACCTGATCTCCTCAAAGGAGAGCCTGAGCTCCAGAGGGAGCGTTATAAATGTATGTGTGTAAATATAAATATACAAGGACATATGGAGGGAAGAGTTGCCAGGGTCATCAGGTTCTAGCAGTGTGCGAGGAAGGGCAGCAGCCAGGCAGGGCACAAGCTCTGCCCAGCCACCAGGACAGCCGTGTCTGTCACTGCTCTCAAACTTCAGAGAGCATTTCACACCATACCATGTGCATCCCCAACCCGCTGCAGGTCCACCCAGCCAGCCCAAGATAGTCAAGTGTCATCACAAGACTCTTTCAGCACTTCCCTTCAACACATACATGCTGTGTCCAAAGGACAGCCTTCAAAAAACTGCTCTTCCAGAGGTTATTATCCTTCCCCTATTTCCAAGCTAAAACAGACACATTCAGTCTTTTCAGGAATGCCTCTCCCTCCCCAAGCTACTGATGCCACTTTGCCCTTTGGACTGCTGCTTTCAGCTCAGTGCCAGACTGCAGGAACCAGTTCTCTCTAAGACTCTTCATTGTTACTGTTTAATGAGAGCTGCTAGAAATCACCACACTGAGAAATCTGGACACCAGAGAAAATTTCAGAAGTGGCCAGAATTTTCAGCTTTCTGGAGATGTCTTCATGTCCTCACCTCCAGCCTGGGAATCAGATGCCCTATGATTTCTGCAGGTGTCTCAGCAGTATTCAGCCAACTTCCTTCCTCTTCCCTTTCACCTGCTCGATGAAACCTGGATGCTGAGCCAGAGCAAAGGAGGTACCTTTGCCCTTAGCCTCTGGAACGAAATTTGCTCCTTTACTGCAGATTTCCTAAGCCACACAGAATCTCACATCCAATAGAGTGGCTTACAGGCTACACTTCTGCTCTGGAGATACCTCTGGCTCCCAGTGCATTCCAGAGAATAAGAGGTCCCTGAAAGTGTGAAGAGCTAGTGATGGTGCAAACAGGCATGGGAAGGAGTTCAGGTCTCCCTCTCCTTACATCATGTGTAAAGGATAGGACAGCACGAAATCGTTTGTACAGTCCCACTCTTGGACAACATGAGACTGAAACTGCCTTTTCTGCAGCCCCACATTCAACTAGAGCTGTGAGAGACCAGCACATGGAGCTCCCTAAGGAAAGGCACTCCTCCTCAAAACCCTGCACACAAACCTCACCCACTGCACTATGCTGTTTTACCTTCTGTGAGCCCTCTTCAGACAGCTTACCTGATCTCAACTGATCTGTGGCTGCAGACCTTAAAAAGCTCCAGATCAGCTACATCTGCACTTTTCAAGTGAAAATCACTTACACCCTTCTTACATGTGCTTTCATATGCCTGTCCACAAGAGCAGCTTGGTTTAGGTTAATCTAATTTTCTATCAAATTAGCCAGAGTAAGACAAAAATATAAGAATATAGTATGACTAGTAGCTGAAAGTCTGTAACCCTGTCATAAACAAGCTGTGAATAATGAAAACTCACTTGATAATATCTAGACTCTCAATAAACTTGTGTTTATTGAGACAGGCCTGACAAAATACATGTACCAAGTGGTCCAGGTAGCCTGCTCCAAAGGCTAGCAAAAGGACCCCCTCATTGCCTCTGCTGCACCCTTCCATGCAGAGGGGCATTCAGGAGGACAGGCATCCACCACAAAGGGCAACAGCAAGAAAAGACAGCAAGGCTGCCAATACTCACCACAGCCAGGCAGCCAAAAGAGTGAGAGACCAAGATGGACACACAACTACATCTCAGGGCTGTTTCTTACCTGCTGACACAAGTAGGGCAATGGAGTCCCCCTGCACCAAGAGGGACTTGGGACAGCTGAGTTTAGTTCTCTCTGGCCTTTTTTTCTTTTGACTTTTGGCTTCAGCTCCCTACCTGCCCAGTAACTACAGAGTCCTCGGCAGCTGTCTGATCCAGCTGGAAAACTGCTGCTGCTTCCCACCAGGGAACAGATGCTCCTGCTGCAGCTGCACAGCAAGACAGGGTGAAAACAACCTTCCTGGGTTTAAAACTGGGCAAAGGTACAGGTTTCCTTGGTGCTGGCTGTACCAGCAAATACCAGGACTAGTATCATCACCCCTAACAAAAGCCACTCAACTCGCGGACAAGCGACGGGAAGCGAACAATGTGATCATTTTACAGCAGACACCAGCACTTGATAACTGTTTAAACAGCACCTGGCACAGCAGAGGCCTGAATGTCTGTGGCCAGGGGATTTTAATGAATTAAGGGATTTTAATGCAATGAAGTGGAAAGCTTATTTGAGCCCTGTTTATTTAAACAGAGCTCCAACCAATGTTCATTTGCAAAACAAACCCTAAGTCACCCCAAGCTCTATCTGACCACTTTGCTGTAATCTACAGAACTCCCTAAGCCCCTTAAAAGAGGGTTAATGATGAAGCCTCCAGTGGCCTGGTCAGGGAGTTTCTGAGCTGAGCCAGACCCCAGTTGTTTCCAGGGTAGGAAAATAGCTGCTACCGTTCTGCAGTCTGAGAGGGGAAAAACAGGCTGGGAAGAGAATGCCAGGAATTTTACAGGACATTTAAAAAACAAACCCAGAACAACATTATACGTTTAACCTAGAAAGGAAAGACATTAAATAAAGACCTAAGTACATCTTCCCAGGAACACAGTGCTCTCAGGAGCCAAAAACTGCACATAAAAGCAGGCAAGCATCTGCAGCCAGGCAGGGTGTAGCTCCAAGGGTTCCTGTAGGAAAAGTGTCAGGGAGCAGGGTTTGCATTTTCCTAGAAAATATGCCATCAGGACCTGCATTGGGGCAGCAGACAAGCCAGCAGCACCAAAAGGTTGCTGATGCCTCAGAAAGTCTTTGTATGGTTAAACTTCAGGACAATGGCACTGCTGGAACTGGGAGCCTGCACGGTAAAAGGAGCTGAGGCACTGGGAGGAAACTGGTAGTAGGTGAAACAAGAGTCATCAGAGAGCCACCTGAAAGCCAAAAGAGGCTGAGCAGCCTTCATGGAAGGGGATCCTAAATTGAACATCCCGTAATTAACGGAGTGAGAACAGCATGGGAGAATTTCCTTCCTAGAGTGCTGTTAACACAGCTAGGCATGGATTAATGCCCCATTACTTGCACACCAGGACATCCCTTTTACATTTATTAAAATGATCAGGCAAATTAGTTTCAGAGCCACACGTACACCAAAGCAGTGCGAATGGCCTGAAGCTCATGCTGACACATAAAGAGCCCAGGAGCCTCCTCAAACCTGCCTTTCCCTTTTCTCACCTCCCAAAGGTCAGCTCCAGACAGTGACAGAACAGCCACACCAGAAGCACCACAATGCAATCCTGGACAGGTCTGGATGTACCTGGTCCTCACAGCCTAAGCCACTGGAGAAGTGGTGCTATTTTTCTCTCCTGCCTTGCCACACATCTCCCACACAAATCAGACAGTGAGGCTTTCTCCAAGAAGGCCAACCTTTGTATCTGCTCTCCTCATCCCATGAGGCATGGGGCTGAACTTTCAACCTTCAGTGTTCGCCTTATCACCTGAAGGAAAAGTGCTTACTAGAGCATCACAGTCCAGCGAGAGGCATGGAAGGGAGCACACAGAACTCATCAAGTCTCATTAATGCATCACACCAGCAAGCTTGGATTGGAGATACAGGCACCCACCATCTCCACAAGCCAGAACATCACAGGAGAAGAACAGGTTGAACTTACCCACACCTCTCTGACCTTGCTCATTGCATTTAGTGCCACCACACTGCCCTGCAGCTATGGGTTGCCACCTCTACCCCCAGATGCCACTGCTCTACCCCCAGTCTGAGCCGAGTACAGCAACCTCCTTCTACTGCTCTTCCCCTGCCAGGCTGCCAGAGCCACAACTGGCAGCCTCCAAGCCAGCTGTGGGCACCCAGTCCACCAGCACCCCCAGTCCTGCCAGCAGCACACCCCACCCCTCCCAGAGTGCAGCTCCTCACTTCTGCCCTCTGCCAGGACTCCCATTTCCAAATCCTCTCCCCAGCAGCGCCTGTGCAGCTGAGCACATCCTCTCAGGCTCAGACTGCTGCACATGCTGATTTATCTGAGCACACACAGGCCGTCAGTTTGACAGAAAACCTTTAGCAGATGTCAGCTGGTGCTGTGGCCGAAGAAAGCAAATCTGTCTTTTCCCTACACCCAAACGTGTTCCCATCTCTGATTTCATGCCAGCACAAATATTTGTGCTGGGCAGTCAGACAGGAATGAGACAGACCTGAAGGCCAGCACATGCTGGAGCTGTCACTGAAAGGCAACTTCCAAACTACAACCTTGACTTTAGAATAAACAGCAGGAGGGGAAGTTAGGACTCTCTTCCACATATTTCTATTTGTCTTGAGAGCAGACAAACTCAAAGCCCCAAAAACAAACTCAAAGCAAGAGAAGCTGATATCAAGAAGCAGGGCTCAGAAGGTGAGCAGAGGAAGCAAAGCTGTGCCAGCATCCAGTGTGTCAAAGGACACAGCCACACAACCATTCAGCCAGGGATGACAGGGGGAAGCAATCAGCAACGGGTACCCTGGGATCAGCACACTTTCCTTCACAGCACAAATGCATCTGAAGGTGCAGACACTGCCAAATTCTGTTAATGACTGGAGCAAAGCTGTCATCACAGTAAGGTTTAAGGAGTGCAAAATAAAACTGCAAATATTTCCTGAGAGAAGCTGCTTTCTAAATGCATGACAGACATAAAACGCACAAGGGAGTTGGCACCAGGTAATGTCACCTGGGGAGAAGCTGTCAACTTGCCTGCTCTTGCCTGCTCAGGACGTTTTGGGACAGAGGGGTTGGAGAAGATAGGTGCAGTTTAATCTGCTGCCTGCTTGCCTTTAGGCCCTTGAAAGCAGAGACTGCCATGAATGTCCTTGC